GGAACCTCTCCCTATACCGGCTGGCCCTTGGACAGACATTAGCTACAATCTTATTACTGGTCTACCCTTGTCAAACGGCTATGACAGTATCCTCACTGTAGTAGATAGGCTAACTAAAATGAGCCATTTCCTTCCGTGTAGAGAATCCATGACGGCAGAAGACCTTGCGGACCTCATGACTAAGAACGTCTGGAAACTACACGGGACACCCAAAACAATCATTTCGGACAGAGGCAGCATCTTTGTGTCACAGATCACGAAGGAGCTGGACAAGCGACTGGGAATCAGGTTACACCCATCCACGGCGTTTCATCCAAGAACAGACGGTCAAAGTGAGATTGTCAATAAAGCTATTGAACAGTACTTACGACATTTTGTCCAATACTGACAGGACGATTGGGAGTCATTACTGCCTACAGCTGAATTCGCCTATAACAACAGGGATCACGAGTCGACGGGAATATCACCATTTATGGCTAATTATGGGTATAACCCAATGTTTAATAAAATCCCGTCAGCTGACCAATGTGTACCGTTGGTAGAAAGAAGACTTCAAGCGCTAGACGATACTCAAAGGGAATTAAGCCAGTACCTTGAGATTGCTCAAGAAAAGATGAAGGTCCAATTCGACAAAAGCGTCAGAGACACTCCAGATTGGCGCATAGGAGATCAGGTGTGGTTGAACAGGAAGAACATCTCAACTACACGGCCGAGCCCTAAGTTGGAGTACAGATGGCTAGGTCCCTTCTTTATTAATGAAAAAGTCTCAAATTCTACTTATAGATTGGATCTCCCCTTGTCGATGAAAGGCATACATCCAGTGTTTCACGTCTCAGTACTACGAAAACACAGCCCAGACTCAATACCACAAAGACAACAACAACCAATCAAACCGATTATCATCAACAATCAAGAAGAATGGGAGGTTAATGAAATATTAGATTGCAGAAGAAAATTCAATAAATTGGAATATCTCGTCAGTTGGAAGAACTTCAGCACACAAGATAACTCATGGGAGCCAGAAAGCAACCTCAAGAATTGTGTGGAATTAGTTAAATCATTCAATTCAAAATTTCCGGAAGCGGCTAACAGGTACAAGAGGAGGAAACGGAGAAAGTGAGAGGGCTATGCTTTTTCCCACCGGGTTTTTTAATGCAGCCCGGGGAAAGAATGCAGAGTTTGCAAGAGGAAACTTGGGCATTAAAGGGGGAATAGTGTTATGAACTGAACACGTGACACTTTAAGATCACATGTCACAGATTTAGATTATCACTTGTGACTGCGCCACGTTGTACTTTCTCTTTCCCTTCATCCGACAATCATCATAAGGAAAGAAGATACTAGATAAAGAACCCTGATTGACTCCTTCAACCCCGTCGCCATTACCCCTGAGACCCGCCCTTAACACACAAGTATCTAACACTCAAATACAAAATTTAAGAAGTCAAAATGGAATTCTTAATCAAGGCATTCTTCAAGTTTCAGTTGATGATTTAACTCAAGGTGTTCATACTTTGAATATCAAGAGAGATCTCCCGCCTCATCAACAATTTCCTTTAGGTTTTTCACAACCACCACCTCAATTTTCTCAACCTCCCCCTTTATTTACTCAACCTCCTGCCTTGTTT